GTTAAAAAGAGAAATCCCAGAAACACGTTACTCCTTCTTGACGGCCGGGACGCCGCTTCTCAATCGACAGAACCGTGTCGATGAAGCCCTTCTGCAGCGCCGACTTCTTCCGCACGGCCAGCAGCTGCGCCGTCTTGAGAATGTTCTTAATCTGCCGTCCGTTAAGTGGCAGCTTGGCGAGCTCGTCCAACTCGGCGTCCGAGACCTCCACATCAATCTTGGAGCCGTTAAGAAAGTTCCTCCAGATGACGCGACGCGACTCGGCCGTGAGGTCAGGGTACTCGAGCGACACGTGAATGCGCGACTGGAAGGCAGCGTCAATGTTATCGACGCGGTTGGTCGTCATGAAGAGAATGCCCTCATAGTACTCGAGAGTGCGCAGGAAAATGGAGACGACCTTGTTCCGCTCGAGATCGTGTGTGCTGCGGGCCTCGAGGAAGACGTCACACTCATCGAGCAGAAGAATGGCGTCCCAGCGGGCCACAAGCTCGAGAATCTGCGACAGGCCGTTCTCCACCTCCCATGGCTGCGAGCCCAGGTCGCCCGAGCTGAGGGTGTGCAGGGGCACACGCAGGTTCTCGGCGACAGCCTCGGCCGTGAGCGTCTTGCCCACGCCGGGCGGGCCCGAGAGCAGGCAGATGATGCCCTTGCCCTTGCCCGAGATAACATCGTCAAAGGAGGAGCCCGAGAGCTGCGCCTCGGAGAAAGCGAGGATGAGTTCCTTCTGGTCCTCGTCGAGGACGAGCTTGTCAAAGGCGTCCGTGTTCCAGACGACTTCGCGAACCTGCGAAACGAAGAAGTCGAGCCACTTCTTTCTCTTGAGAGAATAACCCCTGGTCCGTGAGCGGGCAATCAGCAAGAGATAAGGCGTGAGCCTGAGATTGCCGTTCTCAGCAAGACCGTGCTCGCGCTTGTAGGCCTGGAGAGCCTCGAGATCCTTGGCCCGCCAGTCACGCAGGTAGCGGGAAGGGTAGGGGCTGTAGCTGTTGAAACTCTTAATGTCGACGACAATGCGACCAGAGACATCGACGGGGACCTCGTTCCCTTCCCGGTCCCAGGTGATGGCATCACCTTCGTACTGCTTGTAGTGGTGGCCGGCAAGCTGCTCGAAGATGAGGCCACGGTGGGTGAGGCTGGTCACAAGCGCCTCTTTATTCTCGTGGAACTTCAGAGGGTACGCATTCAGGCCAGTGATGGGCTTAGCCCCGAGAAACTCAGGAATCGACATGCGTTCCTTGTGGCGACCGAAGGTCTTGCCATCGTAGTCGACACATTCGGCAGTGATGGCGAGAACATTGCCGCACCGCGTCTCCTTGTACTCGGTCTCGTACATCTCAAACGCCGACAGCGGCCCCTGGTGGGCGGCCACGATGATGTCTGAGGGAGCAAAGATCATCCAGAGATGTTCAAACGTGATGACCTTGGTCTTCATGTAGTCCTCAAAAGCAGCAATATCCTGCCCAATCTCGTAGACAAGAATGTCGTGCAGAACAGTAAGGTGCTCCTTGGTCAGGTCATCGAGGTCCTCCCTCTTTCTGTACTCAATGAACTCGGTCCATCGGTGCACAAAGGGCTGGAAGGGTGCCTCAAACTCGAGCTTTGCGAGCTCACAGGCGACACCAGGGTAATCCTCCAGGATGTGACCCAGCGCCTTCTTCAGCCAGGGGCTCTGGATGGCGATCGAGTGGGCCTCGAGCTTCTTGTGGGCGGCGGTGCTCTTGATGTTTCGCACGAGCACGGCGTACTTGGCCGTAGACTTGTTCTCCGCCGGGCTGATGACGTCGTCGGGGTACGCGCTTTGCCAGGTCCAGTTGCCGTCGTCGTCCTTCTTGGAGCGGTAAATGTTCTTAACCGTGCTGATGGAACCAATCTCGGCATCTGGGTTGGAGTCGACGGATTCAGTGTCGGAGTCGTCCTCGTCCTCGTCCTCGTCGCTCTCCTTCTCCTCTTCATCTTCTTCGACAATTTTCTTCGCCGCCTTCTTCGGCCTCTTGCCACAGCAGCAAGTGTTTTTGGCAGCGGCATCGCCGTTCACAGGCGTCGCATCGGGATTGTCGGTGCCACCGGCATTGGCAGAGGACGAGGCGTCGGAGGTGGACCTTGCCGTTTCGGAAGCCAGTCGCTTGGTGACGGCCATGTTGAAAGCGGATGTACAAGATGAAAGAAGTTTGGGGTGTTCCCTCGATGGTATTGACACATTGAGCGACGGCTCCACGCCTCTCTTATACACACTCCGGCGGATCTGTCTGCTTCACGGATTGAGGCTGGACATGATCAGTTTGCAGCCACAACTGTGGGACTGAGTCACCGGGAAGGCCATCCTCACGCTGGCTGCCTTGGCGAACAAGCAATCCTGCTAGGCTGCCTGGAGAGTTGAGGCCAATGCGACGACATTCTTGACGGCTCGACAAGGCAACAATGCACATTCACGATATCCCCTGTCCGGAATCATGCAGGTTAGGAGGGAGCCGCCAAGCGCGTAGAGGTGTGAAGCGACCGCTGATGGGCTGGCCCGTCGGTAGTGCTGACCCTGGTTGGGCCATTGTGCAGGCAGCGGTGCGATGTGGCGATCCCGCCCCCAAAACGACGCCTCAAGGCGCGGACTAAAGGTGACCCCAGGCGACGGGAGGGCGTTGTAGGTGGAGTGGGGATCAGGGTTGGGGGGACTGATGAGGCCTCTTTCGCTTCGTTGGCACATTTGCACCTGCGTTGCCAGAGGGTGCTCGTATGGGGATGTCTCAGTGCGTGCATGCAGCTGGCTCGCAAACGTGTGGGTGGTTATTTGATTGACACAGAAAATTGTTCCTGTAGAACAGAGGAGGATGAGGATGCAGAAAGGATGGATGGAGAGGATCCAAGGCGCACGGCAGTCCTGGTCTACCTACCTCAGGCAAGCTAGGCAGACGCCCCTCGCTGGTGACACCTTCCTGAGGCTGCTGTCGAGCATGACCCGGCCGCCGTCTGACTCAGAACCTACGAAATCCATGGACCAGACATTGACCTCGTCCCCAACACTCGCAATTCATTCTATCTAGGACGAGGTTCCCTACCCTCCGTTTGCAAGAATTTGTTTGGTGGCCCGTTGATGATTGCCCTCAGTTCTCGGTTTTGGCCTTGAGTCTGGTGTTTTCCTCTCACCGCCTTGCCATTGGGGAGCGGCCAGCCCAACTGAGAAGAACTGAGAAGGCAGCTATGATCGCAAACGCTTGGACGAGACATGATG